TAATTAATCCACTTTTTGTTTTTAACTGGAAAAGACAAAATACTAGGTGCCTTTTCCCACTGGACAGATCTGGCTAACCTGTGATGTCACAACCTTCAGTCTAATTGCTCATGCAAATGTGATGCTTTATGGAAAGAACAAGATTTGTATCCAGTCTGTGTCACAGGAAGCAGGAGATAACTCAACCGACTTCGCTCACTTGAAAAAACCTCTAGGTCTTGCTTTTGCTGGGGGAAAAAAAATGCTGCTAAAGAAAACAGAGGGAAAATACTAATCTCTATTTGAAAAGGCTAAATCTAAATTAAACTATTAGATAGGATCTAGTGAGTAATTCACCCTCACTAGATGAAGGAGGAGTCAACTGCCCCTCTGCACCAGGTCTACAATATTCTACAAACCCTGGCACAAGGCTGCTTTAAGTTGCACTGACTGGAACAGCATCCTTTAATAGGCACCAGGTTTAAAACCAACCAAAGGAAGTATTTTTTCACACAATGCACAGTCAAAGAGCAAGGAACTCCTTGCCAGAGGATGTTGTGAAGGCCAAGACTATAACAAGGTTCAAAAAAGAACTAGGTAAGTTCATGGAGGATAGGTCCATCAATGGCTATTAGCCAAGATGGGTAGGGATGGTGTCCCTAGGCTCTGTTTGCCAGAAGCTGGGAATGGGTGATGGGATGGATCACTTGATTGCCTATTCTGTTCATTCCCTCTGGGGCACCTGCCAGTGGCCTCTGTTGGCCGACAGAATCCTGGGCTAGATGGACCTTTGGTCTGACCCAGTATGGCCGTTCTTATGTTCTAGGAACCATTCTGCCAACTAGGGATTGCTGCTTTGGTCCCAGTCCCTGACCACATCTTTTCTGTGTCCCCAAACACTATCTCCCTGCCTGTAACCAGCCACGATATGCCCAGTGCAGGCGGAGTAGGGGGGTGGAGAGAAGAGGAGAAGACAGGGACACAGAGCTGAGTAAGAAAAAGCTATGCCAGGTTTATGTCAGCCAATGTTTCCGATAGGCTAGGAGAATTCTTATCAGCCCCCCCCCCCCCCCCCCGAGAACTGATTTAAGAGCATCATCCCCTTTAGAACAATGCTTTTCTAGCAGTGCAAAAGGACCTTAGCAGCAGCCAAGAGTTTAGCCCAATGTTTCTGTTCAGCATCACTAATTAGTGTATCTAAACTGGTCAATCACTCCATCTGAGTGCCGTTGGTTGATGGAGAGTGTTTTAATGCCTCTCCATTTCTACAATGAGATTTGAAGAACTTTATTTGTGGATTAACCAGGTTAATAAAATATACTGTAATGTGTTTAAGCCAATCTCCTAATTGCAGACTGTGTATATGCCTCATTTGGCAAGATATTACTACTTATTAAGTGAAGGTCTCCCGTTAGTCTCTCAGTCTACTCCTTACTGACAGCAACCAGATATTAAAACTGATTGGGAAGGAGGTACAGCATACTTGTGGTTTGATTTTCATGGGCTATACAGGATTTTGATATTCGTTGCATACCAGGGGCTGCAGCTGCCCCCTGCTGTATTGCTACTAGTTATGCTACTGATTTATTAGTACTGGGTCAATGTCTGCATCTATGTTCAAGCAAAACTTCCACAGACTTACCAGAAACAACATGGTAAAGGTGAAAAGTACACCTCTACCCCGATATAACACGACCCGATATAACACGAATTCGGATATAACGCGGTAAAGCAGCGCTCTGGGGGGGCAGGGCCGCGCGCTCCGGCGGATCAGCGGGTCAGGCTCCGACATGCTGCTCTGAGTGGCGTGTTAGGGGTGGGAGGCGGGCAGGAGGCGGGTGGGCAAGCGGGGTGAGGAGGCGAATGGGGAGGTGAGCGGCAGGCAGGAGGGGGCTGAGGAGGCAGGCGAGCGGGAAGACAGTGAGCAGGAGAGCGGTGGTTGGGCGGATGGGGGGGAGGCGTGCCAGACAGATGGTGAGGAGATTAGCGGGGAGGCGAGCGGCGGGCGGGTAGGTGCAGTGAGGAGGCGAATGGGGAGGTGAGTGGCAGGCAGGAGGGGACTGAGGAGGCAGACGAGCGGGAAGACAGCAAGCAGGAGAGCGGTGGTTGGGAGACGTGCCGGACAGATGGTGAGGAGACTAGTGGGGAGGTGAGCGGCAGGCGGGTAGGTACGGTGAGGAGGCGAGCGGCGGGTGGGAGCACTGGGCGGACGGTGAGGAGACTAGCAGGGAGGCTGATTTGTCCCGGGCCCCACACCCCTCTAGGGACGGCTCCGACACGCTGCTCTGAGCAGCGTGTTAAGGGTGCCGGGCCGGGGCCGAGGGGTTGGTTAAGGGGCAGAAGGTCTCGGGGGCGGTCAGGGGACAAGGAGCCTTCCCTACCCGATATAAAACGCGGTTTTACCTATAACGTGGTAAGATTTTTGGCTCCAGAGGACCGCGTTATATCGGGGTAGAGGTGTATTCAAAAGATAGAGAAAAAGATACACAAAATCCCAACTTGAGTACATATGCTTAATGCTCTCACATATTCAAAAGGTCCCTCAAATGGCTTTATATTTTTGCAAGGCTTTATGACTACTTAAGGCTTAGGCTCAATGAAAAACTCTAACAGTACTTTGTCACACATTGAGCTCTAGAAAATGAAACGGGGTTTGGTCGCCCCAGCTCAACTTCCTCTTTGATTTCTGTTTCAGTTGAATGTTATTTCCTATTTTCAATAATAAACATGCAGCCAAAGTCACCATGAGAGAAACCAACCTCAGGAACAAAATTTGCATGGCCTTAGTGCTCTCCATCCTCCACAGCCAGACTCCAACAGAGCGAAAGCCAGGACTTCAACTTGCCCAGATGAGGTCTGGATGGACAGTTGAGGCCTGGCTGTGTTGAGCTTCTTAGCCACCATTTTCAAAGGAATTCATTCATTTATGGCACAGTCTAGCTCAAGCTACTCTGAGGTTCTTTCAGAAGGGCAGGTTTCTTCTGAAGGATGATGCATTTTCAAGCCAAGATGATCTGAGCTCAAACTTCCATTATGCACAGTCATTGCAGTAAAGGCAGCCTGTTTTGAACAATACAGAAGAAAGGGAGCTCATTCTTACAAACTAGTCAGCCTCCAGCAGCCTCCCCTATATTACTTTGGTCACAGTGCCACTGAGTAAATTCAGCAGTTGTACACAGTTTGTGTGTATCCCTTATACAGTAACAGCAAGGAAGCTATCCAAGGGCTATTTTTGTTTTTTAATTTATAAAGTTCCAGATCTCACAGTTTTCTCCTGTTACCATTTCTCAATCCAACACTTCCTTTATCAGTGCATATTTAAATGAGGGGGCCCTTTTCCCTGCTCAAGTGCGGCCATATTCTCTTCTCACTAATTATCCAGGTGGGTCTCCAAAAGGATTATGCACATATTAGAAGGGAGGGAGATAAAGAATCTGACTAATTGAATAAAGAAAAGATTTCATTTTAACTGAAGCATTGACATGTGCCTGGGGTGTCTAAGCGTCTTCTGGCTCCCTTATGCGATGGCCGCCATCTTGGCCAACGCACCAGGGATTGAATCAGAGACCTCCAGTGCTAAAAGCTTGAGCCGCGCTTCAATTAGAGCTGTAACAGACTCAACCTCTGCAGATCGGGGAAGAGAGATAACACCCCCTCAACAGTGGGTTACAACTCACTGCATTCATCTCTATGGCTGTAATGTCGACACTATGAACTAGGGGTGCGGGTCCCTTGCTTGAGTACACATATTCATGCTAGCTCTTATCAAGCTAACATGACTATAAACAGAAGTGTAGCTGTAGTGGCACAGGCAATGGCAGTGGAGACATGGCTGACCCAGTTCAGGTGGGTTTGTACTCAGTATGGCTCAGTTGTGCCTCTGCTGCTGCTACCCATGCTACTGTGGCTACACTGCTATTTATACCAGCTCATAATGTAGATGTAGTCTAAAGGGCAGACATTTTGTTACTCATAGGAACTGTATGACCAGGTCCTCATGTACACTTCCAACCAGTGGTGTGTTTTCGGAATTCTTTGCCCTCTTTCTTTCACCAACTAACTTTGCAAAGTAAAATCAAGCACATTTTCGGGTAACGTTAAATATTAAGTGATACTGAAGCTAAAGATGAACCCAAGCCATGTACTTCAGATCAAGAACTGAATCCTAATCTAAACCAGTTCTTTCTTTACATGGAATCTATTTTCCTAAATGGATCCATGGAGTCAGGAATCAATTTTGCCTCTCATATCTAAACAGTAGTGTGTCCTGCCCTGGAGAGGGTTCTCTGAATTTTTGGCAGAGTTCCACCACCAAGTATCTCTACAATTATATGGAGAGCTCCGTGCCAAAGTATAAGGATCACAACTCTAAGGGCTACCATCATTGCCAATGAGAGACTAAGAACACTTCTAGCAGCAAGGGGATGCGTCTCTAACAAGAGTCACCCAGATCTGGTTGAGGAGCAGGCTGAGGACATACTCCCCTTCATATAGTCGTGACTCAGGAGAAGGGATAGTTTGGGTGGAAATCCTGGCTTCTGTTTGTGCCTTCTCGTACCTAAATTATTTAACTTCCTCTCAAGAATATTCCTCCCTTTCATGTTCTCAATATCATGCCTATCACCTTATCTCAATCTCCTCTCTTCCAAAAAATAGAAACCTAGTGTTCCGACCGCTCTTCACAGCTGTCAACTAGAGAACATTTATTATCCCCATATGCGTCTCCTTCAGTACTTTTTCTAATCCTCACCCCAGCTACCCAGGATGCTCCAGACATAGACTCACCACCAACTTTGTGCAGTACCCTACAAAAAATCATCTCACTGACATCTTCACAGAAACCAGGGCAATCAGTTCTCACCTACACATGTTTTTCCCCGGGGGCTGGAATTTTTCCAAAGCACTTAGCAACAGGCTAACTCTGCAGTCAATGGCAAAAATCCCACAGAACAAATTCTTTGTGTTCCCTGCAGTCTGGTGAGTAAACCCAGCTATTAAGCAATAGATTATATATTACTTACCTCTAGGACCTTCCCGGTGATGAACTGGTGACATGCTTCACATTTGACCCCAAAGAGAACCTGGTAGTCCTTTTCACAATAAGGGGCGCCATCCCTGAAATAAAATATCCAGACGATACAAGTTACAATGCGGCTTGTATTCTTCCCTTGTCCCTCGTGGAAATGCCCATTGACAGCAAGAGGTGAATGGGGCAGAAACCAAAGTAGCTATTTTGCAGCTCAAATGAAAAGGCATTTCAGTTAGCACCATTTAGGATCAGCATTTAAATTGCCACAGAGAATAAAGAAGAGACATTCAAGCACAAATGTGCACATTGTGGACCAGATCCTCTGCTGGTGTCAATGGGTGTAAAATCGACTGAGCTATGCCCCTTTACAGAAGATGACGATCCGACCCTTTGTCAATATTCTATCGTACGCATGTATGAGCCTGCTGCACCTCTATCCATTTCAGTAAATAAATTCTTGGTAATCTTAATAGCGTATAAATACAGACACATCTGAGCATCAGTGGCATCATGACTGAGGAATGAATTAGAAACACCTTAGCCAGTTTAACGAATTTATACGGTATCAGGCACCATCTTACACGTTCCTTTGTTTAATTAGTCATAGATGCCAGCCTGTTTATATTTGTGCCCACTAAAACGAGCGATGAAAGGTTTGCCTCGGTCACATACATAGTGTCCCTATATTTTTTCTCCCCCGCTAGATGTTTGAAAGGGGTCTGGCTAGACTCCCACCATCTTGCGGCTAAAGCACTCTCTCTCAGATTTTTCTCCCTTGCCTTGGTATGCTCCTAACTTTCTTCTTCATTAGTTCCTAATCCGGGGAAGGTAAACACAGTGTCAGGTCAATCACATCAATGTGTCTGGTCTCTGTTCTAGCAAAGTGAGAGATGTGCAGTTTCTTCCTTTCTTCTCAAGTTCACAACTTGAAAATAACTGGACAAAATGGTGAAAAAGCTGTGCCTTGGAAACACAATGGGGGTGTTCACACACCCCTCTCTTTGACCAGAAAAAGACATGCAACCCTCCTGCTCATAGTATTTATTTTACCAACTACGGTTAAATCACTGTTTTTCTTTACTTGCTCCAGCCAGTTTACAGGGAAAAATTCCCCTGGGGTCCCAATTCCAATATTCTGCTCCTACTATGAGTGAGGATTTCAGTGCACATGGTGATGGGCAACAGGGCACAGAAATTTTTTTTACTGAGGGGTTGAGAATTAAAAAAATAATAGCTGTTCAATGACTAAATTTGTCCACGTTTAATAAAGTGAGAAAAGCTCCACGTGTTCCAAACTCGTTGTCTCCTTTATTTATTATTGAGATTCTTAAAATTTTGGGGGTGGGGTCTATAGATCGCCCCCCCACCCCACGTCCTCCATTGTCTACCCCATGAATGATCAGCATGTGTCGACAGAGCAGGTTTTCGGAAGTGTGATATGCCCAGCAGATTAGAAAAGAAGAATTTGTCTGCATTGTACTTTTGGAAAGTAAGGATGGATTTCATGCCAGGCAACAGAAAAGACATAGGAGGCTGCTTACTTGCTGATGTATTCCCCAGTCAGGACCTTGCCACATGCCTTGCACTTAAAGCATCCCAGGTGCCACTGCTTATCCAGTGCTAGTAGCGCTTGGCCATTTTTTATATCTCTTCCACAGCCAGCACAATCTGCAAATAAATATGTACATTCATTGTCAGTGAGTTGCTTTATTAATCTTCATTAACCTACCTAACGAACACCACTCCTAGGTTAGCCAGAAGGGGTCATTACAAGCAATGCGAGACACCTACATTCTCATAGGGGTCAGTATGTCCCCCCCTCCCCCAAGGTCCCAGCCCAGGAACAAGGAACCACAGACGCATTCTGCTCCATAACAAGCATACCTAAGACTAGTACAGAAGGCACTGTCACACCTTCGATGACGATTTGCAGCCAGCCCAGTCAGCCTGCAGATTTTATTAGGAATTAACAAAATATGCTTTCACTCACAAGAATGTCTTCAAGAGGAGCCGCCGTTTATTTGTTTTTTTGCCATCAGCAAAGTCTCTGCTGCTTAAAGAAATCTATATATAGTAGGCATGGACTGGCTACTTCTAATCTAAAATTAAACGCTCCTCAGTAGTCGTCCTTCTCAGGCATTACTTTCCCCCCTCCAGATGGCAGCAAAGCACTAAACGTTAAATGGGTTCTTGGTAGGCAGCAAAACTTTCAAAGATTCAGGAGTGGTAAAAGACAAAAATTTTACAGCTAGATAACATAACAAAGGCTTTGGCAATAATTGCAGTATAATAGGGCGTATCCTCCTCTATACATAAGGAAAGGAACAACTCCCATAGGCATTCCTTATGCACAAAAAAGGACATTTACATGAGAACTTCAGTTCTATGTTTGGAGTCAACACTGAGCACGGATATATTGAGATCCTTTGATGGCAGGAATCAAGCAAAGAGAGCCCCAGGCAATGGCACTGAATGCCCTCTATCTCGGAGATGCCATGGTGTTTCATATCATGTTGTAGATCTCTGGCTCAGGGTTGCCATTCCATTCAAATCCAAAACAGTCAAAGCTTTCCCTATAAGGGGCACCCCAGTGGGCACTGAGATTTGAATAAAATGATATGCTGGGGCCCAGTGAAGAGTTGCAGACTTCCCCCCAGGCGCAATTTTGGTGGAGGAAGGGCTGGAAGGCTCATAAAAGTAAGAATGAGAGAGAAACCTGATGGACACAGGGAAAGCTGCAGGGAAGGAAAGAGGCTGGAAACTGTATTGGAGGATGCTGGGATCTAACTTGATACCTTAACACCCTGAGCTGAATATCACATCCTCACAATGACATCGAGCAGTTGAACATGAGTGTCATTAGCAGAATAATGAAAACAGTTCAGCCCAATCACTGCAGCTGAAGGAATATCTACCCAATCCGTAGGCATCTCAAAAAGGTCATTGATCTTCAGTGTGCAAGCTCAATAGATAGAGAATGCCTGAGAAGTCCCAACCAACTCGCACAGTGGTAGTTTTACCCCAGTGTAAATCCAGGCCTGCAATGAGGTTACTCCAGAGTTATGCTGGCGAAAGTGAGAGGAGAATCAGGCCCCATGTCACTGAAATGGACTATTAACTTTCTGGATAATAGTCCAAGCAAAGGAAAGCACCAAACAGATGCTGTACACTGTTACCATCCAGAAAGTGAGTGAGAGAGACGGGGGCGGGGGAGTTTGGGACCAGTGTAAGATGCTTACATGGTAACACATATGTCTGAGCCTCCTGACATTGTGTAGCAAAGACATGCAACATCAAGATGACTTTGCCCCACAGGACAAAGTGTAAGGAGTGGCACCGGGAAAAGACACTATGGGAATGACAAACTGATGGCCCGTAACTGTTCCCTCCAATTCTCTATGCCATTTAACACGCCACCCCATAAACCTGAGTCAGCTTTTTCGAGCTTTAATGTACAAATGCCATCTCTTATTTTTAACCAGCAGTTCTAGTTTTTTCATCCTTCCGGAGGCTGGATAAGGCAAAACTCTCAGACTGTTCTGTTCCTATCCTAGCACTGCACTAGACTTGCAGTAAGTTTTTATTATTATTATTATCATCATTATAAGAAGAAGAAAATCCATTCTGCCCAATTAAGCAAAACGCCAAGATGTTCTGACCACAATGAAGACAATAGGCATTACAGGTGCTTGGCCGTGCTCAGGATCGGCCTCTTCAGATTACCGAAACATTTGAAATGTAATGTTGTCAGTATAAAAGAACAACAAATGCATTTCATACTTATCTGGGACTTTCCCTCTGCAGATCCCAAAGTGCTTTATAAAGGTGAGTGAGCATCATTAGCTCCATTCATCTGATGCCACAGAGCTGTTGAGTGACTTGGCTAAGGTCACAGTGAGCTAATAGCCTACTAGACTATAGTTGCCCTGTTAACAGAAACGTTTATCTCCTCTGGTGAAACAGCTGGTCGTAAATATAGAAAGCTGGCAATTCTCAGATAGTACTTGAATAGAAAGGAGATAAATACAGACTAGGTTAAGGGCAGGAAACCATTTGTTCACGAAAATTCTACAAACAAACGTCACTCACTCCTAGTGCCTGTGTAACGAATAGTAACGAATTTGGGTGAAATACAGAACAGCGTGGGGGGTTCACGCAAGGGCTCAGCAGCCACACGGGGGCATAATCTGCCACAGACTAGGCTATACACTGGCCCCAAATAGATCAGCATGTAATAGAGCTACAGTGGTATTGAGGCTGCAGGGTCCATGATTATGTGGATTCAGTGGCACCAACACCCAGTAGTGGCTGTGGAAAGGTTACACTGCAGCCCCACAGGGTACCTGCTGCTTGAGGAGTTGCAATTCTATTCCCCTTAATCCCCTCTTAGCGCCCCACAGAAGTCCAATTACTTCAGGCTTTGGGCAGGAGTGATCAGTGTTACCCTCTCTCTGCACAACACAAGCTAAACACATCACTTCATTCTCAGCGTGGCTTGCCAGATGTTTGCATCTTCTGCACAATGGTATAAAATGCAGGGGTTTCCAAAAGCTCCCAAACACTAACAAAGGGGTCATATTCCAACACACCTCGTCTCTTTCATGCGCTCTGACTAGGCCAGCTCAGTCTAAAGATACGCCCCTACATATTTACTCTCCATAACATTTATAGTCCATAACAATGCCGCATCTGAAGTGTCCAGAGAGCTAAAGCAAGTATGAGAAAAAGGGCTGTTGAAACATACCATGAATGTCTGCCTGAATGAGGGCAGTGGGGGGGGGGAGATTACATTTTAAAGTGACACATCGTTAAGATCTTCATCCCCCAAGCACCGTGTACAGCCTCATTAGAGAGCCCTATGAAGCTGTACGTTGGGATAGTAATGACAGATGAGCTGCCATCCACGATGCTCCGCTTGTGAAGATCTGGACAGAAAATACATTTGCCTTTGCAGCTTCTGCATCACTCCCCACATCTGACAAAGAGTGAGGCATCCTGCACAGCAACTCATTTGTCACTGTCTAAATTAAGCAGTGGGTTTTTCCTCTTTCCCCCCCTTGACCAATGGCAGCGTAGCTTTCCCACAGCTTGATCACATCACATGCAGCACTCCAGCATGATGGGCTCTGAGCTGATACTGCTGCATTAACCCTGAGCATGCTGCATACAAACTTCACCCAAGGCTGTTTGGATTGCCATCCCAGAAATCTGCCAGTGAATATACCCATATCTCCCGTAGACCTCACAAAGAGGTCACCCGGTTCTGCTCTGGCTTCTGCCACCATACCAACTGGCAGAGGCCATGTGGGGGGAAAGCACCCCTGAATGTACTACTCACCTCACCCCCGGGGAGTCTGCACCGAGAGATTATGAGAGTATGACTGCTCAGAGTTCCAGTATGAAACTGCAGAAAAACCTGAGGGTCTCTGGATTAAGTTTAAAAGTGTGAGCAACAAGGGTGATGTCGTGGTGGGAGTCTGCTATAGACCATCAGATCAGGGGGACGAGGCTTTCTTCCGGCAACTAACAGAAGTTACTAGATCACAGGCCCTGGTTCTCATGGGGGACTTCAATCCCCCCGATATCTGCTGGGAGAGCAATACAGGAGTGCACAGACAATCCAGGAAGTTTTTGGAAAGTGTAGGGGACAATTTCCTGGTGTAAGTGCTGGAGGAACCAACTAGGGGGAAGGGGTAGCTCAGTGGTTTGGGCATTGGCTTGCTAAACCCAGGGTTAGGAGTTCAATCCTGAGGGGGCCACTTAGGAATCTGGGGAAAAATCAGTACTTGGTCCCTTCCAGTTCTAGGAGATAAAATAAGATTAATAAAGATATCCTATTTTAATTTTTTTAGGAGCAGGGCTCTTCTTGATCTGATGCTCACAAACAGGAAAGAATTAGTAGGGGAAGCAAAAGTGGATGGGAACCTGGGAGGCAGTGACCATGAGATGGTCGAGTTCAGGATCCTGACACAAGGAAGAAAGGAGAACAGCAGAATACGGACCCTGGACTTCAGAAAAGCAGATTTGACTCCCTCAGGGAACTGATGGGCAGGATCCCCTGGGATAATAACATGAAGGGGAAAGGAGTCCAGGAGAGCAGGCTGTATTTTAAAGAATCCTTATTGAGGTTGCAGAAACAAACCATCCCGATGTGTAGAAAGAATAGTAAATATGGCAGGCGACCAGCTTGGCTTAACAGTGAAATCCTTGCTGATCTTAAAAACAAAAAAGAAGCTTACAAGAAGTGGAAGATTGGACAAATGACCAGGGAGGAGTATAAAAATATCACTCAAGCATGCAGGAACGAAATCAGGAAGGCCAAATCACACTTGGAGTTGCAGCTAGCAAGGGATGTTAAGAGTAACAAGAAGGGTTTCTTCAGGAATGTTAGCAACAAGAAGGTGGTCAAGGAAAGTGTGGGCCCCTTAGTGAATGAAGGAGGCAACCTAGGGACAGAGGATGTGGAAAAAGCTATTGTACTCAATGCTTTTTTTGCCTCTGTCTTCACGAACAAGGTCAGCTCCCAGGCTACTGCACTGGACAGCACAGTATGGGAAGGAGGTGACCAGCCCTCTGTGGAGAAAGAAGTAGTTCAGGACTATTTACAAAAGCTGGACGAGCACAAGTCCATGGGGCCGGATGCACTGCATCCGAGGGTGCTAAAGGAG